AACAAACAAAATGGGCATAAATCACAAAAATTGTATACAAACAAATGATATATAAAGTGAAAGTATAATTGATATATTAGAAAAATTTCTTCAATCAGTAAAACAACATCAAAAATATATACAAAGTGCATCAATTTTTATTCCACAATGTAATTCACAATTAATTAAATTAAGTCAATTTATTAAAGAAATATACAAACGATATTATGAAATAGAAGCTGACTTATTAGAATATGAATGTACATATAATACTTTTCATTCTCAACAATTTCAAAATAAAACAACATCATTAGAATGTATTGTAACAAATCATTGTAATGAAGAAATTATAACAAAAAGATATCAATTTGATTTACCTGATGTTCCAATGGAATTTCAAACTTCTATAGGTTGTTCATCAAAGAAAGATTGTTTGTTAGTAACTCCAAATGATTTAATTAAACATCAAATAAAAAAACAAACAAATGAATATTTTGAACCACAACTTAATTTTGTTAAAATAATTTCAACTTCAAGATATATTGTCGGTGATCAAGCAAATCATACTGTTAAAATAATTGAATTTGATAGTTCTCAAAATCCAGAAATAATAAGAAGTTGTGGTAATTTAACTGATAATCATATTGCATGTGATATTGCAATTTGTCATGATAAGTATTATAGTGCAGATAAAGGAAGTAATACTATTTCTTATTATGATTCAAGTCTTAAAAGAATATTAGATTTTGGTGGTTTTGGTAGTGAAAGTGGTAAATTTAATGAGCCAACGAGTATTGAAATTAAAAAGAATAGATTATTTGTTTGTGATAGTTTAAATCATAGAATTCAACAATTTGATCTTCAAGGAAGATATGAAAAATCAATTACAGAAAATACTTTATATCCTTCTTGTGTTAGAATGAATTATAAAGATCAATTACTTATTGTAGATGAATGGAAAAGTAGAGTTGTTATTATTGATGCTAAAACTGGAAAAGAAGTTGACGTATTAGGAAATAAAAGAGAAGAAGATAAATTCCTTCGTCCTACTCATTTGGCTTGTTTTAATGATGAAGTTTATGTTAGTGATACTGGTAATGGTCGAATAGTTCAATTTAAAAATAACCAATATTACGGTCAACTAAAACTAAAAGATATAGGAATAGATGGCAATCCTTTAGGGATTGATGCTTTTGAAGGAGAAATAGCATTTACTGTTGTTGGAAATAACCAAGTCTTCTTCATAAAAATAAGTTGCTTTGAGACAAAATAATAAATTTTTTTTTAAATCAAAACTTTTTTATTATCTATTCCTGAAAAATGACAAATGAATACACAGAAACAACTCATCAAATTGGAAAATATTCAGTCTTCTCTAGATTATACTCTGTCTCTTCAGCAAAAGGTAATATTTTATTTATTCATGGTTACACAGAACATTCAGGAATTAATTTAATGACTGGAAAATATTTTAATGAACAAGGATTTAATGTTTATTTCATTGACTTACCAGGCCATGGAAGGTCAAGTGGTGACCGTGGGTATATACCACTTTTTGAAGATTATGAAATGGTTGTAAAAGAATTTTCAAAATTAATACAAAAGAGTGATGTATTTGTTTCCGAACAACTTCCGCTTTATCTTATTGGATTTTCTATTGGAGGATTAATTGTTAGTAGAATTGCATCTGACAAAAAAGCATCACAATTATACAAAGCTATTATTTCTATTAACCCACCATATTGGATCAATGTTTGGTATGTTTATATTTTTTATTACTTTGCCTTACTCTTTGCTTTCTTCTTTCCTTCTTTTACAGTTCATTATATTAACGAATCTCTCTTTAATAATAAAGAGGTTGCCTCAAAATTTTTTAAAGACCCTTATTTATTAAAATCAAATAACCTTCATGTATGTCTTGAAATGGTTCGTGCTGGTCTTGAAGATGTTAATAAATCTGAACATATTCCATTCCTTCTAATTCAATCATCCTGTGACTCAATAGTAAATCCTAAAGGAGCTTTGATAAAATCCTACCACTTCCACAACTCTAAGAGTTTGTTTGTTTTAGTGCCAAAACAAAATCATATGCTCTTTGAAGAAGACTTTTCTTCAGTTCACTCAACAATGAATAAATGGATTCTTTCACTTTAACTTCACAAGTTTTATTTTTTCTTTTTGCCACAGAAACAGAAGATGTTCTGATATGGTGTGAAGTAATGAGTTGATAAGATTTATTAATTTATTCCTTGATTTTATTTTTTTTTTAAAGAATACGAACTCAGAAAATATCTTAAAATAATTTAATTAGCAGCAATGAAACTGTCTAATATCTTTAATACAATTATTGGTTTTGTATTGCTTTATGTTGTAATGACACACTCTATTAGATACCAACAAAGGGATGAATTTTCTTTATTAATGAAGGCAAAAGTTGACACATTTCATGTTTTAAACTTTCTTCAAATAGACCAGTTAAAAGGAAATTATACTAGTGTTTGTTGTTATTGTTTATATTTTTTTTTAAATGTAAATATAACATAGTAGTTAATATCAAGCTTATGTGCAGTTTTGATTTGTTTGTTATTATCTGTATTCAAAAACTCATTTATTTTAACTCTCTTGTTGGTTGCAACAACAATCATTTTCCATATTTCCGTATTAACTCTTCAAACAAGTGAATTTGCACTACCAATTTCTGGTGTATTGCAGATTATTATTAATTCAAGTAAACAACCACTTCTTGTTATTTCAAAACAAATACTTTCATTCTTTACATTATTATCATCTACATTCCCAATTATTCAACCTTATATGATTTCTTGGATTAGTGCAATTGATAACTATGAATTTCCAGCTATTCTTTTAATTGTCCTTGGTTACAGTTTGATTAACAAAAAATTACAACTTCTTTCATGCATTTATGTACCTATAATTATTACACTCATTATTGGAATTCCATTAACAATTGTTTATGCTTTACAAAACTCATTCTTAACATCTATCCAATTACTTATTGGAACTGTTATTTTCTTAGTTTTCTTCTTTAATGGACTTCTTCAAATAGAATTAATCCCACTTGCACCAGTCTATTATATTTCAATTGTTCTTGTTGCCCAATCTTGTGTTTCATTTGTTACCTCTTATTATAGTCTTACTTCTCTTCAAGCTGATTGTTTATTTGTTGCTCTTTACATCGTTTTATTCTGTTTAGTTCTCTTTAAGAAATTTGGTACTTCATTAATTCCAACTCTCCTAATGTTCTTTGCAATAAGCAAATTATTAGGATTCACATTATCCATTGAATATTTGGTCCCAATATTCTTTTTAGTACATGCTTTTTGTTCATGTTGAACTTAATTTGAATCCTTTTTTATTAATAACACAATTTCATTATTTGTGTTATTTTATTTTTTGTTTTTAAAATAATATTAAATTATAATTTAATTTATTATATTTTTAATGAATAAAATTGTTTTTATTTTGTTAAATATTTTCAAGATATATCATCTCGAAGTTATTAGAATCCTTAATGGAGTGTGTCATTGGTATTGATTTAGGAACTACCTTCTCATGTATGGCAGTCTGGAAAGAAAATTCAAAGAGAGTTGAGATTATTACTAATAGACAAGGAAAAGAAATAACACCATCAGTTATAGCGTTTACTGATAAACAACGATTAATTGGAGAAGAGGCAATAAACTGTACTGGGACAATAGTATTTGATGTTAAAAGGTTGATTGGAAGAAAATATAATGACCCAGAATTACAAAAAGACTTAAAATATATTACATACTCAATAAAAGATAATGGAAAAAATGAGCCTATAATTGAAGTTCCTTATATGAATGTTTTAAGTGCTTTTAGACCAGAAGATATAAGTGCAATGCTACTAAGAAGATTTAAAGAAATTGCAAGTGATGCAATGGGAAGAGATGTAAAGAAAGCTATTATAACTGTCCCTGCATATTTTAATGATTCTCAACGAGAATCAACTAAAAATGCTGGTAAAATTGCAGGATTTGATGTTATGAGAATTATTAATGAACCAACAGCAGCTGCAATTGCTTATGGATTTGAACAAAATATCAAAGATAAAAGTAATATTCTTGTCTTTGATCTTGGAGGAGGAACATTTGACGTCACACTATTATCTATTGACAATGGAGAATATAAAGTCATTGCCACAGATGGAGATACTCATCTTGGAGGAAATGACTTTGATACAAAATTACTTGAACTAGTTATTAATAAATGGAAAGAAGAAGATAAAGATTTTGTGGGACAACTCACAAAGAAACAAATCTATAAACTACGTAAGAGATGTGAAACTGCAAAAATTATTCTTTCTAATAAACTAGAAACTAGAATTGATATTACTGATTTCTATGATGATGCTGAAGAAGAAGAAGACGATGATAGAATATGTGAATTAGTTATTACTAGGGAGGAGTTTGAAAATGTTAATAAAGAATTGTTTTCAAGATGTTTCATTTCAGTAGAAAAGGTGTTACAAGTAACACAAGTTAAAGCAAAAGATGTTAGTGAAGTTGTATTAGTTGGTGGATCAACAAAAATTCCTAAAATCGAACAAATGGTAAGTCAATTCTTTGGTAGAAAACCATGTAAAAGTATTGATCCAGATAAGGCAGTGGCAGTTGGAGCAGCACTTCAAGGTGCATCTATGATAGGACAAATGCAAGAAAATAAAGTTATATTAAAAGATGTAACAGCACTGGGATTAGGAATTGAAATAAAAGATACAGAAATGAATGTTGTAATTCCACGATATTCACCATTACCAAGTAAAGAATCTCGAATATTTGTTACGAATCAAGATAATCAAGAAATAGCGAGATTTTCTGTATTTGAAGGAGAAAGTAAAAAAACAGAAGAAAATAATTATCTTGATGGATTTACAATCTCAGGACTTCCAAGAATGAAGAAAGGATTAGTTAAATTTAAAGTTACTTTTAATGTTGATATAAATGGAATGTTATCAGTATCTGCAGTTGTTGTTGAACCTAAAGCATTTAGTGATCTTCAAGGTCATTGTAATGTTCAAACACAAAGAGAAAGAAGATCAGATGAATCTATAGAAATAGGAAGAAAACGTATTGATGAAATGGATAAAGCAGATGAAGAGAATAGAAAGAAGTCATTAGCACTACAACGATATAAAAGATTAATAAAATTATATCAAGAGAAAAGCAAAACTAATAAAAAATTAGAAGAAATAAAAGAACATCTTCAACAATGGTGGAATGAATCATATAATAAAACTGAAAGTAAAGAATTAAATGAGCAATTAGAATATTATCAAAGTCAATTAAATAATTTGTAATTTTTTATATATTGACATTAATTATAATCTTTTTAACTTAAGAGTAGAAATTTATTTATAACATTTATTAATAATGATAAAATCTAAATTAAAATATACCTTTTATTAGTTTTATTTTATTCAATTTTCTAAATAAACTTAAAGTATTAATTATTGACAAATAACATACTCCTTTTGGAATATTAATATCTATTAATTTAAAATATCTTTTTTGTAAAAATATTTCTGGTTTGTTGAAATAAAATAAAAGCATTTAATTAAGTATTAATAGAATATTTTTACATTAAATGTTATTACTTTTTTTTATAAATAAGAATTAATTGGTTTTGTTGTCTCTTAATCTCATTCAATTAAAAAAATACTTCCAATGGAACAAACTTTAAGACTCTTTATAAGAAAAGGGCATTAAACAAAAGAGTTAATGACTCTCAAAATGTTAATTATTAGTATAACTTTTATTTTTAAATGAAACCAGATAATAATTAATAGTTAAAAGCGTGTTACAAATGTGTTAAATGATTAACACTAAATGCTTCAATAAATTATTAATCATCTTTTTTATTACTTAATGTACTAATCAATTAAAAAATTTAATGAAATTACAAAAAAGAAATCTTCAACAGTGAAATGTTCATAAAGAACTAATAATTTAACTTTATTGATAAGTCAAGTTAATCTCATTCATGTCTACCACAACACCACTGAATGTTGAAAAAGAAGAACCTAAGTATATTGCTATGAGAAATAAGCTTATTGAAATTTCTCGACAATTAACAATAGCAAAAAAGTTATTACTTCAACACTGTCCTGAAAGATTAGACTCAGAAGGGAATGTCCTCAAAAATTACAAAAGTAAAAAAGAAAAGAAACCTAAAAAAAATCAGATATCTTCTAACAGACGAGTATTTGTTAAAAAATCTTCTATCTTTGAATTTAGTAAAAATGTTGGTGGGTGCAATGTTATTACTCGTCAGTTAACTAAAACTGCATCTGAATTAGATAAATTCGATAAAACTACTTCACTTTCAACTAAAAGATACAAATTTAAAAATAATGAAGTAGCGCATTGTTATGGTTGTAATAAACTTTGTGCTTCAATGCATCCTGTGTACGTCTACTCATGTAGAAATTGTGGTGAGTTATTCCAACAAAACAGAAATTTAACAAGAGACTTATCTAATACAGTGTCATTGGTTATTGGTTGTAGAACTAAATTAGGACATCAAGTTACTTTAAAATTACTTCGAGCTGGTAGTACTGTGATTGGAACAACAAGATATCCTGAAGATACAAAAATTTTATTTTCTCAGTACGAAGATTACGAAATATTCAAAGACCGATTAATCATTTATAATAAAGGATTAGATCTTGACACCAACCATTTAGAAAATAATTTTAGAGACCTTAAAGAATTCATTGAACAAAAATATGGACATTTAAATCATTTTATTTTCTGTGCTGCTCAAACTATTCGAGTAAGAGAAAAAGAACGAAATAGAGTAAAAGAAGAAATGAAAGAAACAAACAGATATGGAGATGCAAAATTTGTAAAAGAGACTAATATAAATTCATGGAAAATGACAATAGAAGATTTAAATCAAAAAGAAATGGAAGAGGTAATAAGAATTAATTCTATTGCACCAACGTTATTAACTAAAATGTTGATTCCATTATTAAAAAAGTCAACAATCATACCATACATTATTTTTGTACATGCAAGGGAAGGTGTTTTTCAGTGTCATAAAACAAAATATCATATTCATACAAATATGGCTAAGGCATCATTGGCAATGCTTACATTATGTCTTTGTTCAAGTAATATAATAACGGAAAACGGATTACCATTTTCTGTTCATGGATGTGATCCTGGATGGATTTCAGTTGATGAATATTACGAAAATGATAAACCATTTGAAGTTGCACCTTTAGATGAAGTTGATGGAGCCTCAAGGGTCTTATATCCATTATTTAAAGAATTAAGAAGTGAATCAAAAACACGCAGACATTATACCAACTTAACTTTTTAAAGTTTTATAATTTATTAATTCAGATTATATCTTATTTGAACCAATAAAAATAACAAATCAAGCACTGCAAATTAAGTTTATTTCTTCTTATCTGAAATCTTCTTGCTATAGAAGTCAAGTTCTTTACCTTCAAGGATATATCCTTCAACTGATCCAGTTTGTCCTGGTCTGGAAGAAATACATGCAAGAATTCTTCCACTTTGGAATCCTTCTAATAATGCTTCATCAAATTTCATGTTCTTTAATACTTCTAATTTCTTTGCATATTTCTTTTGCATAGTCTTAGTTGGATTCATAAGTGCTACTTGAGTTTGAGCAATTTGATGTGCAATACTCTTTTCTTTGTTTTCTTCTTCCTTTGGAATAACAACCTTCTTTTCAGTTTTGAATGTAGCTGATTCGAGTGATTTATAATATTCAGTTGATGCAATATCTTTTCCATAGAATTTAAGGAACCATAATCTGAATGGAGCTGGATCAATTTCAATAATAGCACCCTTAACTAAAGTATTGGTTCTGACAAAATCATTGTCAGAAGCATTATAAACGACATTAAGAATCTTAGTACCTTTGGTGATAGATTGAGATGCCCATGAGAAGTTTCCATTTTCTAATCTCAATGCTCTTCTTTTAATAATTCCATATCTGCATCTAACATCATGAACTCTAATAGCACCGAGTCTAGTATTGGCTGGTTGTCTTCCCATGGTATTCTTTTTCTTTTTTTGCATACTATTCTTCTTTCCTCCAGTAGCTCTTCTTTTATGTCTTGAATCTCTTGTAATTCCCATGATGCAGTCTTGACTATACAGTTCAGTTCATTCAAGCAGATGGAGGGTTTATTCCAGGGTATTTACTATTTTTTTTATAATTTTATTATTTTTTTATTAGAAAATCATAAAAAATAAAAGGAAGTATTTGTTTATTATTTTTTAGTTTTTTCAATTTTTTTTATTTTGTATTTTTTGGTTCATCAATAACTTTTGAATATTAACTCATAATTTTTAAAATAATGGAAGAAGACAAAAGAACTATAATAGAAAGTGGGAAAATTCGTTCTATATCTTATGTCCGTGATGTTTCCAGTAAAAGTGATGGATGTTATATGTTTAAACAAGGGAAAAGTTGTATAATTTCAGGAGTTAATGCACCTCGTGATTGTCCTAAAAGAGAGGCTAATCCAGATCGAGCAGTTGTCAAAGTAGAAGTTTATGAACGATGTTCTAGTTTTGATAGTCAAAGAAGAACTGAATTAGAAGAGTTTATCAAAAGTGGAGTTGAGTGGACTGTTATTAGTGAACAATATCCTAATGGATTAATTAATGTCTGTAATCAAATAGTTAAAGATGATGGTTCAATTGAAGCTGTTACAATGAATGCTGCAATGTGTGCACTTTTATTTAGTGGTGTAGATATGAAAGGGATAGTTGTAGGAATGTGTGTAGCTGGAAAGATAGATAATAATGGAACAATTGAAATAGTTATTGACCCAGATGATTCAATTAGTTACAAATGGAAACTATTTACAATTTGGGATACTATTAAAGGAGAAATAGTAGCAATGAAAATGAAAGGAAAATGTAGTGATGATCAATTAAAAATGAGTATGGATATTTCTAAAAAGAATGCAGTTAAAATGGTCAAAGCTATTAAAATGGTGATAGAAAAACAATATCCTCATTGATTGGTTTATAAGTACTTCTGTTAAAACTAAAACAATTTAAATTTAATATACTTCTTACATTACATCAACAATAGTATAAATTATTCATAAAAATATTTTGTATGTTTTTAGTCAATGATTAAAGCTTATTAAGATATTTACCAAACTTAGAAAATAAATTCTTTGATAAAGGGTTATTGTTCAATTCCTTTAAAATAAACAAAAAAAGATTTCATTTTTGAAATAATATTATTTTTAATTGTGTAAAAAGAAAAGAATTTCATTAAAATTATTACTTAATTGGAATTAATAAAATAGTTGTAATTATTATTATTGAATTAATAATTAAGTTTTTTGAGAATACAACAAAAATGTGTTTATGACTGAATTATCTGAATATTTTATATAAATTTAATAATAAACTGTTATTCACAAAGAAAAAATAGCTTAAAACTTTATTAATTTAAACTAATTTCTTGATTTAATATTGAACTTAGATAAAATTTAATTTTTTCTAAATAATATTAACTCAGTTATTTGGTTCTATGAGGGTGTAGTATTTCTTTGATAAGTCTACTGCACTAATAACTTTTTCAAGAACTTTAATATTTTCTATTTTTAATTTGCCTGATGAAATTAAAGTATTTAATGGCATAGCCTTAGCAAAAGAAGCTAAAATTAATGCTTTAGGACCAGTAACTGAAGCAGTATAATCAGAAGGTAATGTTCGAGTATGTAAGACACCATTGCTAATAATTAATGTAACACATTCATTAGTATCAACAGCTCTAAGTTGAATAGAATCATCAACACCTTCAATCAGCTGAGGATTAACAGAAACACAAAGTAAATCACTAATAGCAGTTAATGGAAGTGTTGCTGGAGGAATAGCAGAAGGTGATGGTTGTTTATTTTGTTTTCTTCTCAATTCAAATGCACCAGTAGCGTAAATGTATTTCCAAGCAAGACATTCTTGTGTGTAACTTAATTGGTCATATGTTTTAGCAAGTAATTCTCTTCCTTCTTCATTTGACGGATTAGCAAATACTAAATGATTTAATATAGTAGCCGCCCAACGATATTCTCCATTATCAAATGCTTCTTTCCCAATTTTTAAAGTATTTTCTTCTCCACCAAATGCGTTAATATATTTGATGGCTTGTTCTTTTGGTGGTAATTCATTTAAATGAGCAGGATTACCATCGTACCATCCAATATATAGTTGATACTGAGATTTAATATTATGATTTAATGCTCCATATAAATCTCTACAACACTGTTCATTAGCAAGGTTTTTAGGTAATTGAATAAGTTCAGCCATTTCATTTGGTGTATATCCAAGGTTTGCATAACGTAATGTTTGGTCATGAATAAATTTGTAAACATCTCTTTTTACTTTCCAGAAATGGTTAATTTTTTCATTCCCTTCTATGTGCCATCCATGGCCTCCTAAATGATATTGGACATCTTTACCATATTTTGTTATTACTTTATCAATATATTCACTCCAAATCTTTCCACTTCTTACTTTAGCACCTCTTAATGTTCCTAAATTATGTTGTGCATGCATCATATTATCTGCGGCTTCTAAAATATGATATTGAGGAATATATATCATCATATTTGATGGTGCTTCTGTGTTCGGAGTTAAAATAAAGTCCATAATAATTCCATCAACAGCAAAAGTACAATCTTCTTTAACAACGCATGTATTTTTTGATTTTGGGAATGATGTTGTTGGTTGTTGTGGAGTAGTAGAATTTGTTTGTGGTGGAAGTTTACCTTCCATTTTTAACTTTTCTATCATTAAAGCCTTCCTATAACCTAAACCCCACATATAATCTGCTCTTCTTCCCATAATTGGTGCAGCAAGAACGTTTTCATCAATAAACGAATCCATGAAATTACTTGGAAGATATAGTGGTGTTTCTTCATTTCCAACTGCTGCATAACCACCAAAATGGTCAAAATGAGAATGAGTAATAATAATAGATGACACAGGCATATCTTCTACAGTAGTTTTAATTAACTCAAATGCTCTTTTACAAGATGGAATAGATGACATACAATCAATAACAATCCAACCAGTTTGTCCTCTAATAACAGTAAAATTAGCCATATCAATAGATTTACCTCTCACTTGATAAACTTTCTTTGGAATAATCTCAAAAACACCTTCAAGACTATCAATACAAGAATTTTTCCAATATGATGGATTTGATGTTGAGGGGCATTCTTGGTTAATTTGTTCAATACTCTTTCTTGACTTAACTAATTCTTCAAAATTTAATTCATTTCTTTTTCCATTACTATCAGCATAATATCCTTTCATGGCATCTAAATATTCTTCTTTTCCATTCCAATTAAATTTTTGATTAAACTCTTGGTTCCTTTTACAAGTATACTGACTAGCCATTAAATGAATTGAATAAAAATTTTTCAGTTTTAATTGTTTTAGAATCAAATTTTTTTTTATTTTTCTAATGTTTTAGAAAACTCAATCACTTTCATTTTATGAGCAAAATACAAGCTATCCCTTGGGTTGAAAAATATAGACCAAAACTTCTTGACGAAATCATTGGTAATGTTGATATTATTAAAACACTAAAAAGTTTTCGGGATTCTAAACAATTTCCTCATTTACTATTATGTGGTCAACCAGGAATTGGTAAAACAACTTCAATTCATTGTTTAGCTCATGAATTGTTAAAAGATAGGTATAAAGAAGCTGTCCTTGAACTGAATGCATCTGATGAACGTGGAATAGAAACTATTCGTTCTACAATAAAATCTTTTTGTGAAAAGAAGTTAGTATTACCTGATAATTTACCAAAAATTGTTATATTAGACGAAGCAGATTCAATGACAACAGCTGCTTTTCAAGCCTTACGTAGGACAATGGAAATACACTCTAAAACAACAAGATTTGTTCTTGCTTGTAATACTCCAGAAAAGATTATTGAACCTATTCAATCAAGATGTGCAAGACTAACATTTAGACCGTTAGGAGAAGAAGAACTTATGAATAGAATTAAAGAAATAGCTCGTTGTGAAAATGTTGATATTGAAGACGATGCTGTCAAAGCGCTTGAAATCGTTTCTGAAGGTGATATGCGTAAAGCAATTAATGCACTTCAAACGTGTGCTATCATTCAAGGGAGAATCACTAAAGAACAAGTCTATCAACGAAATGATCTTCCATCAGCAGATAATATTATTCAAGCTATTCAGTTATGTCTCAAGAAAGATTTTGATGGTGCATTAATTGAAATCAAGAAAGTTCAACAACTCGGATTTGATGGAAATGATATAATGGATATGATTGTAAGAATGTTTTCTAAAATTGATGCAAGTGAAGAAATAAGAGTACGTCTTTATGAAATAGCAGCACCTTTTCTTATTCATAGAGTAAATTCTAATGTTCAAGTTTATGGGTTAATGGCAAAAATTTGTTCAATTTAATTGAGGGATTTGGTTTTTATTGTTTACTAAAATTAAAATAAAATTTAACAAGTAAATTTTATTTCTTTTCATAAACTCTTTTCTTTTGACTCTTTTTTCTTTTCGTTGGTGTTACATCATTCTTCTTTGGTTTTTTTAAATGTTTTTCTAATCTTTTGCGAAGAACTTCTATTGTACCTTGTGTCTTTAATCCCTCTCTTCGTAAAGCTTGTCTAATTTCCCATAATCTCATTTTTTCTGTATCTATCTGTTGTTTGTGAGAAGAAGAAAAAAGTTGGTCTAGTGATACAGTAAAATCTCCTTTCAATGGAGAGAGAGTAACTTCTTCAGCATCCTTGAACTAACAAATTGGTACTTTTTATAAATAAATACAATGATTAAAAACAACAAACTTCTGCACTAAGACGAGGTCTTTTTTCCATAAAACTTGAAATTGGGGGATCATCTGGATTATATTGAATAGTAATAACATCACCTTTAAATGTGACATGAGTTTCAATAGAGATTGACATGATCTAATCTTTTTAAGATAAAATACATAAAAAGAAATAATCAGAAAAGAGATGATAAACAAATTGAATTATGAATTTAAAATGTTATTTTTTATCTTCCTTTAATATGAAGGAATAACAATCGTTCTTATAATCGACACATCGAATTCCTGTAACAGAAGAGAGTTGAATCTGATCTAACTTTTCAAAAATTATTAATTCTTCTAGTTTTACTCTAGTTAATATTAAAGAGTATAAACATTTTATATTTTTAGTTTGAATTTTTCCAACAGAACAATTTGAAGCTGTAAATTCATGTAATGAATGAGGTGGGTTAACAATTCCTTCAACCCCATCTACATCAAGTCGAGTTAAAGAAGTAAAAGTTCGAAGACCATTAATTCCAATTGGAGAAATAAAAGAATCAATATCACAAAAATTTACAACTTTTAATTCTTTTAATGAAATAGGAAGATTAATTTTTCTTTTTGTTTTATGACCAATCAGTGTTAATCCAAGAAGATTTAAACTAGACAAGTCTATAACTTTTGCTTTTTTTAATATAGACGTTTCTTCATAAGTGAAGTATTGAATTAATTTCATTGAATTAATGTTTTGTTTAAAAATTCCTTTAAAGATTAATCTTGTTGTATCAAATAATTCTTCTGAAATAATGTATGGTAAATATAAATTTGTTAATAAAGAAAATTCTTTAAATTTATTTAATTGAGATGGAAATGGGCAAAATAAAATAACCTTTTTTTGTAATACTAATGGAAATACATGAGAGTTTAGTTCTTTTAAAGAATATAAACAACATAAAATATTTGGCTGTAAGGATAATTCTTGAATGACTTTAAAATTAAATGAAATACATTTAAGAATAATTTGAATAGAATTGCATTTTTCAATGTATGAATAAAGTGGTGATATCATTGAACCATTTAAATCAACATCAGTTAGAATTAATTGTTTTAAAGAAAAATGATTAAAAAGATGTTCTATTGGATAATTTATATTAATTTTATTAAATAAGCCTAGTGGTACTGATAGTTTTTTAAGATTGCTTGACTCTCTTAAAATAATTAATAAAGTATCTATGTCTGTTTCTTTTAATGTTAATGAAACAACATCTTTAGCAATCAAATGATAAAATTTATTTTTATTATAATCATGCCAAGTACTAAATGAAACATCAAAAGATGCATATTGTAATGTTCTTTTTTTCCATTTTTTATCACTAAGAGTATGAATTAACTCATTCATTCCACCTCTTAACAAATCTGTTTTACAAAATAATTTTACTTCTTTTTTACATAAAAAAAAATTTTTATGTGGATTTCTTGGTGCTTCTTGAATAGCCTTTTTTATTTTTTTGTTTACAAACAAAAGGTCAAACACACAAGTAATAGGACAATATAATACAACACTTTTTAATTCTTCTTCATTTAAAGGAGATTTAATGTTTTTTTGCATAAATGATAGAATAAATTCTTTTAAGTTCTTTTGTGAGATATAAAAATCTTTTCAAATAATAGAAATAAAAGAAATGAAAAGACACAAAAAAAAAGATTGTTTGCGAGAAAAAATTGGATTACATTTTTAGAAGAAAAGTAATGGAGAATAGATTAAATAGTATTTTGATCTAATTTGTTTAAACGAGTCATTTCTAATATTTGATATAATGGCTCATCAGAATTAGTTTGTTCCCATTGTTTATAATCACTCTTTTCTATTTCATAATCTTGAAGTGATGGAACAATATAAATTGATTTTTTCTTATCTTCATCATTTTCAAATCCTTTTTCTTTGACTTTTTTAATAGAAGAAATACGTGAATCAATTTTATCAATAATTTTTTGGTCTTCTTTAATCATATCTATTTCTTTTGTTGAAATTCTTTTGTAAATATCCATTTCTTTTGGGAGGAGTGAATGTTTTTTAATTCTATTTCTTGAAGGAGATACAGTGCATCGATATAACAATAGTTCTTGGAAAAACATTCTAACGTAATGGTTCCAATGACAGAATAATGTATTAAATAATTTATGAGATAAAACAAAATTGAATATTACTTTCTTCCTTAATTCACATGGAAGAATAGGGATGACTTGATAAATCATACTAATAGTTAAACATATTAATGCATAACTATCAGAAGCAATAATACAAGAATGAATTGATTCAAATAAACTAAAATCAAAACAATCTAAAATAATACCTTCATGTCCAAAGTATGTATAAATGAAATGTTCAATAATCAAAAGTTCACCCATTCCATCAATATCATATAAATTAGTTTTTTTAATTTTTTCTGTAATAACTTTTTTATATATTTCAATATCAATACAACTAAATGACCCATATGCTTCTGCAATAATATAAATAGGTGTTATTAATTCTTCACTTGGAATTTCAAAAATATTCATTAGTTCATTGCTAAATAATAAATATCCTGGATATTCTTTGATATTACTTATAATTTCTTTTCTTATATATTCTCCCCAACATCTAATATATTCTACAGCAAAACCACTTCTTGCTTCAAAATGAATAAGCCATTTATTATCCATTGATGAAATTGCATTGTTTAATTTTTCTGCATGAGAACTTTTAGATGAAATATAATTTGAATAACTTTCCCATTTCTTAAATAATGGATAATTTTCTTTTAATTCTTCTGTTAATATAATTCCACCTTTTTCTCCTATTTTTCCTCCGTTTAAATAATTTAATGTTTCTAATATCCCTTCATATAAATCAGGTATTCTTATTGAAATTAATACAAATAATCTAGCTGCTTCTTCATAATAATCTGCTGGAAGAGGTTTTATTGTTGTAGAAAATTGAAAAGTACTTAACTTTTTCTTTTTCTTTGAAGGAGGAATAAGAGATCCAGTTTTAACTTTTTATCTTTCTTTTCATATTGAGTTATTTCATCAGATATATTAAGTGATAACAATAAATAAAGTGCTGTCTTTGCTAATGCATTATAATATGCATCTAATAACTTTTCTGTTTGTTGTGGTACTTCATCTGGAGCGGGAAAATCAGCTAATGTTAATGGTTGTATTTGATTAATATTCATTATCCTAACAATTACAATAAAGAGTTCTGGCATTAAATTATTTTTTGGTAATCTAATAAGATATTCTACAATACTTGCCCATAATGAAATAATTTCATTTATTAATTCACATGAAAATGTTATTTCACTATTATTTTGTTCTAGCATTAATTGATTAAATTTTTTTAAATAATGTTCTACTTTATCTAATCCTTTTATATTTGAACTTGAATGTGACCTTTCAACTTTACATTCTCCAAGTGCTTTTTCAAACTTCTTACAATTCCTTTGTAATTTCTTTAATTGTCCCTTTTTGTCCTTCTCTGACATTTAATCTCGTTTAAAAATATTTGTTCTTTTTTATTTTTTTTTCTGTTTAACACTTTCTTTTTTTATTAAAGTTCTTGTCTATTTATAGAAACATTCATTTAGATTTTTATTATTTCTATTTCTATGTCAATACCTGTCTATTTCACGACAACTTCACTTCACTTTGATATTGTTAACAAGCACTGAATTCTTTAATCTCTCAAACAACAATACTAAAATAACAAAAAATTACAAAATAAAACTATTAATTATTTTAAAATATTTTATTGTATAAACTAACAAAAAAAATAAAGAAAAATTTTGAAGAGAAAAAAACTAAAAATAATAAAAAGATCTGTTTAAATGAGTGACCAGAAATCAACCAAACCAATATATACAACTGAAGAAGAAGAAATAAATTTTAGAGTTAATTCAATAAAACAAAGTGATATAAAAATGAATAAAGAATTAGATAATGAGAAAATACATGAAGCCATAGAAACGGCATATAATATTGCTGACCATTTAAGAACAATTACACTAACCCCCAAATTATATTACTCGTTATATATAGAAATTCAAACAATATTTACAACATTAATATCAAGAATTTGTGAAATAAAACAAAAGTCTATATTAAAATTATATGAAAGAGTTCAGTACTATTCACACGTAGTTCCAAGATTATATCTTATGTGTACAATCGGTTCTATTTGTATTGCAAAAAAAGAAGTACAAATAACATTATTGTTAAATGATTTATTAGAAATGTGTAAATGTGTTCAACATCCATCAAAAGGATTGTTTTTAAGAAGTTATTTATTATATGTTATTAAAAACTATTTACCAACAACATTAATAGAAAATAATAAAACTGAAGGCTCGTTAGATGATTCAATTCAATTTTTATTAACAAATTTTATTGAAATGAATAAATTAAATATTAGATTAGCACAAAGACAACAAGAAAATCAAGTTCAATTATGTCAATTAGTTGCTATGAATTTAAGTATTTTATCAAATTTAGATATCCCACAAAATACTTATAAAACAATTATTTTACCTCAAATTTTACAACAAATTATTTTATGTGGTGATGTCCATTCTCAAACTTATCTTATTGACGCTGTTATTCAAGCGTTTCCTGGTAAATTTCAATTATTAACACTTAAACCAATTCTTAGAACAATTGTTACTTCACAAAATGGAGTTAATATCGTTGAATTATTAAAATCATTAATCAAACAATTAATTAATTATATTATTATTGAAAAAACTGATGAAACTGATATTTATCCTTTATTTGATAATTCTTTAAAAGACGCTTTAAAACATGAAGAAAATAATAAAAAAGAATTTATTGGATTACTTCCATTATATATTGAATTATTAGAGCACTGGTATATAAAATGATACTTTGAAATTTATTAGTAATTAATTATTGATATAATCATTTTATAGTAGTCTCTACTCAGATT